TGGCCGACTTGGATGTGGGAGGAGTTGGACATCCAACCGAGACAGTCGGGCGGTTTTGGCCGAGAGGAGCTCGAATCCCGGCTTTATGTTTCTGAGCCGCTTCCCAAAAAACGTTTTCCTAGTTCTGTTGTGCCGGTGTTCCCGAAATAGCTCACAGCTTCCTCTGAATCCCGGCAGCTGGAACCGGAGCGCCGCCGCGTCTGGGATCAGCCTCCGGGGGGTGGAGCTGCCGCTGGACCCCCCCCCGCCCGGCCGACCACAGCTGGACGGCCTTCCCGCAGGACGCCCCCCACGCCGCTCCAGATGTGGAGCAGTGGTGGCCCACCAGCGCCGCGGAGGCGGGGCCCGACGGGCTGCCGGCCAATCAGAACCTGGTAGGCCCTCCTGCCACGTGTCCCTGTTTGTGGAACGCAAAGATTATCATTCCCTGTAAACATCAACACAATCAATGCAGTTAAAAGCACAGGAAGTCTTTTTAAGTCATTGGCTGCCATGTTTTTCAACGAGAGTGGCTGGGGGACGATCTGCTAAAGCTTTTCCCTAAATATCAGGCTTCTAGACAGAGTATGTAGTAACAAATTGACCCTCTAGGGGGCAGTGTCACTTTTGATGGGAGATGAGCATAGACTGTAGGCAAACAAGAAAAAGGTAACGGTTCTATGAGAGAACATGTCGCCGGTGAGACGCAAGTCCAGGAAGAACGGAATAAGGTAGAAACAAACTTTTTTTTCCTGATGAAAGAAAAGAGTCTACTCTTTCTTTCGGTGTGTTCGGCGTTTACATAGTCATAGCACAAACTATTCTGTGGCTCTTGAAAAATCAGTTAAAATGCTAAAAAAACTCTGGCAGTATGGGATTCTGTTCTGAAAATGGCTGCCAGTCAACGAGTTAATAGTAAGAAAGAGCATTAAAAAAATCCAGAATCAGTGGTGATGAGTACAGGTTATTAAAGCTCTGTCCTCCAGAAGGAGCTCAGAGTAGATCTCAGTCAGGGGTTTATCCACCAGGAGGCCTTTTGGTCGCCTTTTGGAAGGTTTTTAAGTCAAATCCAACAGGGAGGGACCCCCAGGAAAGACCCCCGACCTAATGTCTGATCTAGGAATTCCCCAGAAAGTGTCTCTGGAGAGGGGGAAATGACTGACCGGACCCCCATACATGTGTCTGAGAACATGGTGAATGTTCATCCCTCTTTAGGGTGATGCTGGTGTCTGTAATGTAGACGTTTCCTCCAGCGTCGCCATGGCGACCCGTCTCCTCGTTGTGGCCAGTTAACCAGAGTTTTCTGCCCGTGTCGGGCCAGAGATAGAGTTAAAATGTCCCTTTTTAAATAAAAAATGAAAGATGAAGCCAGCACTGCAGGGAGAGCATGCCCCCCCCC